ATTCTGCCAGCCCTGTTTTGCATTGGATGTTTTCGAGATAGGGTCTTACAAACTATTTACCTGGGCTGGCTTTGAACCTTGATCCTCATAATCTCAGCCTCCTAAGTGGCTAGGATTACAAGTGTGAGCTGCCAGTGCCCAGCTTGTTATTTCTTAATTGTGTTTATTCCCTTGCACTGTTCTACACGCTGTCTCCAGTGTTACCAAGCAGAATTGGACCCTGATTGCCTTTGTAAAGACTGCTAGGTCACTGACCCAGTCCTGGCCTTTCCCCTTCTCTGTCTCACTTCAATCCCCAACCCCTGCTTCCTGAGTGGGCCTCTCAAATAAATTGCTTATATTGGAACCTTTGTCTCAGGGTCCATTTCCAAAGTACATAAAATAAAAACAAAGCTTACCCACTATACAATGAAAACAGTAAGGCAGGTGGTGGAGTTTGCTCTTTTGGCATCCACATGTATTGGTTTGCTCTTGTGAACACGGTCCATTGTGGACAAGCTTGTACCCTGTTTTAATCATTTTCCTCATGTTGCCATGAATCCTGGCACATGGTGGTCTTTAATGGCTTTAGAGGTGGGAGACCGTGACTTGGCCATGACCAACTGGTGATGTGTCTGCCCTTTGACCTTGCAGGCATTCGCCCCTACAAATGTGACGTCTGCAACAAAGCCTTCACACAGCGCTGTTCCCTTGAGTCGCACCTGAAGAAGATCCACGGTGTGCAGCAGCAGTATGCCTACAAGCAGCGTCGGGACAAGCTCTATGTGTGTGAGGACTGCGGCTACACGGGCCCCACCCAGGAGGACCTGTACCTGCACGTGAACAGTGCCCATCCAGGCAGCATGTTTCTCAAAAAGACATCCAAAAAGTTAGCAGCTCTTTTGCAGAGCAAGCTGACATCCACACACCAGGAGAACACCAACCTGAATGAGAAGGAGGAGAAGAAGTGAAAGGAACAGGAAGGGGATAAAAGACACCAGTGCTGCCACGTTTACACGGATTTTGGGGTCTGAGGGTGTCTCTCCACCCTCTGCCCCACTGGTTCTTTTTAATGACAGGTGTTCAGATCACCTTTCAGTCCTTTCAGGACATCAGCAGTAGGATTCCCTTCCAAGGTTGTCAGTTATTGTGCTATGTCTGACCTTGTAGCACATGTCCTGTTGAACTTGGTGGCCTTCACCAAAGTCTGTTTTCCACACTCCTGATCACTGAGATCACCATGTTTTTGGTTTTTGGTCTTAAATAGGGTTTCACACATGGACAGAAGAATGTTTGTAAAGAGACCTTCATTTTATGGTGCCTTGAAATGCTACTCAAGCAAGGAAAATGAATATTATTCTGAAAGAGTTTACAGAAATTATTTTAATAAATGAAACATTTACGTGAAACTTCTTTAAAAAAAAATCGTGGAGGTGTGGCTCAAGCAGTAGAGCACCTGATTTGCAAGTGTGAAGACTTGTGCTCAAACCCCAGTGCCACCAAAAAAATAAAGACGACAACAACAAAAACAAAGTCTTACAGAGCTGTAGCTCTTCTGTTTAGGGTTTCTCCTGTGACATTGGACTCCAGATCACTTGGAGGGAGGTTGATAGTTTTGTATTAGTGGAGTGACTTTGAGGAAGCAAATCTTGATTGTTGGGTATAACAAGTGGTTGGCGGCAAAATCCAGCACAGAGGGTCAGGCTGCTGGGCAGACACACCTGGAGTTAGAATACCGGGGAGTTTGCCACTGCGGTCTCTTGCTGGCCCTTGGTTTGCCATGCAGATCTTTGGCTTTCGGGGCTAGAACTTGCTGGACAAAGGCTTTTTTTTTTTTTGGCTGGTGGTGGTACTGGGCCTTGAACTCAGGGCCTCATGTTTGCAGTCAGGCACTCTACCACTTGAGTCATTCTGCCAGCTCTGGATGAAGGCTTTGTTTCCTCCCTTGAGTCCAGTGCTGAGTGAAGCTTGTGGCAAATCCTAGAATATGAGGAACCTGCTTGTCACCAAGTGCATCTGCTGAAGTGCAACTGCCTGAGGCACAGCAGAGCATCAGGGTTTCCTTCAGGGCACAACGATGTGTGAGTGCAGCCACCTTTAGTGATCTCTCTCTCCTTACTTTGGGTCCATCCACATAGGCAGGGGAAGTTAACAGCTAAGCCTACCTTGAGACTAGACAGGCCAAAGGAGGCAGCTGGCCAGGGGGTTGGTGAGGTGGTTTCCATGGCACTTCCATGATGGGCCAGGCAACAGGAAGGCTCAGACCCTCCCTTGGGAAGCCCCATAGTCAGAAGTCTTGACTCAGACCCATGAGCTGCTGTCTGAATTGAGTAAGATGTGCTGACCACTGCCTGTCCCTGTCCTTTGGGTACTGCTTGAGCCACTTCTTGGACTAGAGAAACCTTGGGTTGATGCAGCCATTTTTTTCCCTTCTTCCTTACCCCAGTCTCCTTCCTCCCCTCTTCCTTTCCTTTTCTTCCTCCTTCAACTTACATCTCCTATCTATACTCTGAGCCAGGTACTATGCCAAGATCTGGACATTTTAAATGTAAGTTACAAGTTCTCTTCCAAATCACTGCTCTTCTTGTTTTCCTTTTTTTGTTTGTTTGTTTGTTTGTTTTTTTGAGACTATGTAGCCCCAGGCCAGCATGGAACTCTTGATCTTCCTGCTTTAGTCTCCTAATTGCTGGGATGGCAGACATGCAACATTACGCCTAGCACTGCTTTTTTGGTTTTGGAGGAGGAAAGGAAGCAAACCCTTTTATGGAGCTCCTGTGATGTGTTAGGCAGTGAGCTGGGCACCCCTCACTGCACTGATATTCTCTGGAACATCCACTAGGGTCAACAGCCCTGGCCTTGTGAGCAGACAAGGCAACAATTGAGGTGTTCTAGTCCAAACACCTCAATTGTCCCCTTTCTCCTCACCCTCCCTTCAAAATAGAGAGAAAAGACTTCAGGTTCAACTAGGATCACAGAAAGGCAGGTAGGAAAGTAAGGGTGGCTTTGGGTGAGGCTCAGGCTACTGGCGCCTGCAGAATGAATGTGGGTCTGTCCTGCCTCACCTGGAGCTCCAGGTGCCTGGGCTAAGGCTTTGGTGCCACAAAGGCATCATAGTGGCAGGGGTCAAACTTGGGATTCCAAGTGGCTCAGGACAACCCTGAGGGCTCAGTCTGACTCCAGAGGACAGATTGCTGATTTTGTGTTGTCTCCTAGCTCTTGCGAGAATGTCTAGAAGGTGACTGACTTGCTTTCTCCTATTACCTTGGCGATGCAGACATCAAACTGAGCCTTCCTTGCAGGAGTATCTGGCTGGCTGAGCCTTTTTTGTGAAGGGAATGTGAAACAATTAATGTTCTTGTTAGGGCCAAATTTTTATTAAACAGAACGATTTTGGTTGCTAGCAACAGAAACCTAGTTTAAAATGGCCTAAGAGAGAAGGAAAGGTGTTCTCTGAAAAATCTTAAGTTTCCAGTTTCAGGAGTGGCCAGATCTAGCACTTAAACAATAGCATCATTTCTCTTCTTTCATTGTCTTTTAGCTCTGTTTTTCCCATGGTGATCTCTTTTTCAGGCAGGCCCAAATGGAGCCCAGATGGCTGCCCACAGCTCTGGACTTCTATCCTACAGTGCAGTAGCCCAGAGCCTACTTTCAGTCTGAGATCTTGGATTTGACTTTGGGGCCCACCGTGAACTGTCACTGTGCTCTGAGATATTTGGTGCCCTCCTGGCCCCATCCTCTACCACATGCTCCTGCCTCCTCCAAATCAGCAAGCAGGTCAGCCACACCCCTGGGAAAGTGATTCCCCGGCAGCAAATCAAGGTGCTGGGACCTGAACAGGAAATGGATGTTGGGCAGGTGTAGTGGTTAAGATAAGTCACAAAGATACCCAGCAAAGGAACTTTGGGCATGGCTTAAGTGGTAGAATGCTAGCCTAACAAGCATAAGGCCCTGAGATCAAACCCCCCCCAAAAAAGAAAATACTGTATTTTGGGGTTGGGGCCATGGCTCAAGTGATAGAGCACTTGCCAAGCTAGCGCAAGGCCCTAAGTTGAAAGTCCTAAGTCTCCAGAAAGGAGAGAGGGTTGTTTCTCACGTGTTGGTTATAGATGGGGTTGTCATTCCCTAGGCCATCACTGAAGAACCCGGGTTTCTCTTCTGTGTCATTCTGTCCTGTGACACATTGCTGTGTCCTAGCATGTTGTCAATATATGTATGGTTGCATATATTGGAGGTGGGTGGACTATGGGCCTCAGTGTAACTGTCTTGGTTTTGGTTCCTCAAGATGATTCTGAGGCAAGGGTTCAAGTTCCAGTAGACTGCTTAGAGGTAATCCCAGGAAGCTGTTTGTAGGGCCTGGACAAGGGTGACAAGAAAGAAAGTCAGTAAAGGGAATAGAAAAGGGAATTGCTGCTGTGGTAGCTGGAGCTAAATCCCCAGGGGATCTCTGGGAGGCAGTGCAGGAGTCGCCCACTGGTAATTTAGTGGTAAGAAATTGTCCACTAAACTCCCATCTATCTTCAATGGAGGGCTGTTTCCATTGAGGGTGTTCATTTCTTCCAACTTGCCCATGCTTGTACTGGCCAAGCATGCTTCCTGTGCCAGGAAAATCCCTCAGGCAGAATTATGGCTTAGTCAGAAAGCAGATTTCAGCACACAGATCTTTGGAAGCTGACAAAATACAGGCATGGTGACAGTCGAGTCTGGTACAGTAACAGATCGTACTCACTACCTGAAAGTTGTGAGGCACACTTTTCCACTTACACCAAGTGGATTTCTCGGGAGGATTTAACTATGTTAACTGGAGGAGGGAGAGGGAGAATGCAGCGTGCCTTCTCAGCCAGATTTTTGTGTGACCAAGTGGAATGGATTATGGTGGCCAACTCAAGGTCTCTGCCATGGCAGGCAAAAACCAAAGGATGTCCACTCTATTTTCTGACCCCCACCCCATTTCAACCCTGTGTGGCCTGGCCTGCCCAGCCATTTGTCAGGCAATCCAACCAGTGTGTCCAGACTTATGATTTGGGGCAGTGGTTCTCAGACTGATGGCCCTGGAACCTTGGGTCTGTTGCCAGTGGAGATAAAATCCAGTGATCTGTTCTGAATCTCTCAGCAGCACCTCTTTGGGTTGGTGTAGGTCAGTACAATGCAGTAACACTGATATTGGTGCTAGGCAGAAGTGCCTACTGATGTTTTTTGGAAAAGAGATCTATTATCCATCAGTATGGTTTATTTTGTGGATGATTTAGGTTGGGTCCTAGAAGAGGATGAGACAGGGATTCTGGGATAAGTGACTTACTGAGGGAGGCTCTTAGAAGAAAACTGTAAGGAAGTGAGGGAAGCAAGCCTGACAGAATAGAAATGAGGCAAGGATTTGGGGTCTGCTGAAATTTAGCTGCAGCCTGGTCCTGAGAATGCTAAGGAGTGTGAATGACACCATTGAACTCCCATCTTGAGCAAGGGGCAGTTATATGTGACTGACACCTTCATATATGTGAGGGATAGCATAAGCATTTTAGTAACTGCAGATGAGATCTTTAGTAACCAACCTTCCGAGCAGCTGGGGGGCTGGTTCACTTAGAGGTCTCCAAGGCCAGGGAGAGAGAAATCACAGGGATGGATTCTTAGAGGTGAAAAAGATTGATATCCACAGGCTTTGGCTCTTCCTTCGAATACTGGTATTTTGATAAAGGACTTGCTTTTGGAACTAAAAGGTGAATTGGTTATTGCAAATTATGTCGTATTTTCAGAAGGAGATTTAAAAATATTTACATAATTATGCAGGGAAATGTCACCCCCCCACACACACATTGGTCCTTTATCTGCTGCCGTCATAGTTAGCCACTGTTATTAGCTTCTTACGTGTTTTTTCCTGAGTTTCTTTGCCCATATATAAGCAAATAGGAATATCTGAATTCTTGCTTTCCACTGTTTTCTTTTTTAAGTTTCGGCAGAGTGAATACTTTACATACTA